TTGCTCAAAAGAAAATAAAATGCTTTCACACTACACAAGTTACAAGTAAGGAAATGCTTGAAAGAAATCTCTTTCTCTCCCTCTCTCTCTCTCCCTCTCTCTCTCTCTCTCTCTCTCTCTCTCTGTGTTAAACTCGAACAAGACGAAAACCTTTGATTCTTCATAGATACTAACAGACTACTGGATGATAGATGAATACACAGATACATGCAACTCACCACTAATTCATCTGTTTCCCGCCCAGGAATCAAGTAATATCATGCAAGACATACAAATCGCATTTGATTAATCATCGTGGGCTGAGGATGAGTTTCTACTTGCTAATGGATGTTGACGTTGCAGTTGGAAAGATTCATCGGATGATGTTTCATAATATTCGGCCATCCCAGCTTGATAACCAATGAAGCAAACTGAAAGTGAATCATGTCGTTCCTGATAAAGTTCGATCAGTGGAAATGTCAAAACAAATAGGATGTGTCACATTGGTTAATCATTGAGTTCAACCCTCATCATTATCGAATTTGTGTTGAAATACTTTTACAATCTGTAGGATAAGACTGAATGAGTCATTACGATGAATGGGTGTTGTGCCAACCTACGCCCCGGCCGATTTACCACATATCAATCGATGGTTTGTGTAAAAATCCTTTCTGTTGCTCGTTCAAAACAGAAAATATTTTCCAAGTTCTGAGACACACATCGTTATTATAGACTTAGGAATCTTACAAGTTTTCGTTCGTAGTATGAAAGATGACAAAACCTTACGCTTATGTTTTTTGGCAGTATTTGTATCTCATGCATGCCCCCCCAGACGTCTGTCAGGAACGTTCAAAAAAAATGTTTCATCCAATGCAAGAGAATATTTACTTATGATCATATATGAGTCCTCAAGACATAAGCCATTCATCCACTTTTCTTTTTTCCATGCAGATGTAGCCAGTTTCAAAAAAAATGTTTTTCATCAAAGTATATTTGATCCCAATTGATCACAATGGTTCTAAAGTATAATAGTCATTGATCAAATGATCTCTGTTTCCCATCAGCAATGCTTTTTGACCTACTAGGTCATTTTTGTTTACATACAATTACTTACAAGTTCGAAGATCAATTTTGTTTGTTCTGTTTACCTTTTTTGAAAATATTTGAATTAATCTTGCTCCATTGCTAAAAATGGACCAATGACAAAAAACCAATCTGTTCGAGCACCGACGCATTGCCAATCATTGTCGCACTATCAATCGTTAATAATTTGCTCGCTCTTTTTGTTTATTGTTCAACTCAAACATTTTTGATATTTTTTTCTAATTCATTGGTAAACCATTTTGTTGTTTCCTGTCTATCTGTCTACGCCCTGCAAAGTTCAAGTTTAAGAAACATATCTCATCTTTATTGATTTTAGTGGGGGGGAAACAGTTTTTTATCTTTTCGAGAGGTCTTAGTGCGTCATCAAAGATGGATTGGTGTTATTTGCTCGTCTTCTTGTTGATTTACCACACATCAATCGATTGTTTGTGTAAAAATGCTTTGTGTTGCTCGTTCAAAACAGAATATACTTCACCGGCTCTAAAATTGTCTGACTGTTATGAACTTAGATTATTTAACACGGGTTCCTATTTCGGTGAAAGCAAAGAAAATTCTCAGTTTCTATGGGTTTTTTTGAAATTATTTGTTTCCTGCATTCCGTGACTCAGGGAGGTCGCTAACAGGTCACACCGAGGTCATAACATAGCCATCTGTGAACCAAACAGCACACCGTTCTATTTCAAGTTCCTATTGATTAAGAAACCACAGTATTTCATTTTTCTTTTACATTCAGTCTCTTCACTCCTATGTGTTCAATTGCATCTAGTTTTTTTAAGATTTTTGAAAAGAAGGTTTTTGAGATTGACTCATGGGAACATCTTACATAAAAGGGAATAGAATGCTTCATTTGTTACTTAGTGTGCAATTTCTCCGAATAATTCTGTTCTATGCCTGATGTGTAGTTATTGATGATTCATACCATCATTATTTGCTTAGAAAGGATATAAAACACAATTTTCCATTGTAAAAGGACATCACTCCTGAGATAGACCTCAGAAACTTCCAGAAAAGCAGTAAGGTTAACATGAGATCATTCTTTATGTCATTATGTCAATTTGGCCATTTTGAGTCAATTTGCTAATCTCCATCACTCTTATAGCCACAGTAACACGTAATGGCATTTTTCTTCACTTGGTGCAAAATGTGTTTGAGTTGCCTCTTCTTAATATGGTGGAATCGTAATGGCTGTTTTCATACTCTTCTTTTTTTTCCCTTAGTATTGTGATATAGTTTCCAAAAAGTGATGAGTGTCGAATCCCTTCAGACTTTTTTGTTGTTTACATAATAGTTATGTCCATTTTCGAACAAAGTCTGCTATGTTGCTAATTTAGACCAAGGCTAACTGGTTACTTTTTTGAATTAATGACATCGAATTTTTTTTGGAAATTTGCTGTTACTCTGGCTATTGTGTCTTGTTAGTTGTGATATTTCATACAATTTTCTTTTCCCCTCTTATTTATATGTTGAAACTAGATAATTATCAGAAGTTACTTTATGAGTAATCGATTGCGTAGATTTTTATTTTTCAAATTTGTAAAACAGTTGCTACAATGCTAATCTGGACCAATGACAACCGCCAGTTTTCAAATGCATGAGTTGTCTCATCGCCCCTTTGTCCACTCACATTTACTACTATAACTTTTGTTTATCTTTGATTTTGTTTTTATTTTCTTTCTCGATCAGCTTTTTTTTTTGTTTATGATATTTTAGTTTCTCAATTGCTTCTTCATTCCAATATTTATAATCGTATTTACCTTTTAACTCATTTAAGTTTTTAGAATGGCCGAAGAATATCAACTGGTGAGAACTTTTGCTTCTCTCCCACGCACCACAAGAGGGTTACCTGTTGTGATAGGAGTCTCTCCTAAAGGAGACAAGATTCTTTACCCGAATGGAAACTCTGTTTTCACTGTCCCTGTTAAGGTTAGAAATATTAAAATTCAGAGTTTATACTTTTTTAGGATGTTACGAACCCTGACATTTACACAGAACATTCCGTCCCAGTGACTGTAGCAAAAATGAGTCCAAGCGGGTGAGTCTTGTTTATAAATATAATCTTATTTATAATCTGACGACATTTGTAGGTTTTATTGCGCTTCAGGAGATGCAAATGGTAACGTGAGAATTTGGGACACTGTCAACTCGACTCATATACTGAAAGCCACCTATCCAGTAAGCTGTTTCACATAAAAGCATAATTTCAAGGTATTTCTAGGTTTTCCATGGAAACGTCCGTGACATTGCTTGGAACGACGACAGTAAGAGATTGGCTGTCGTTGGAGAAGGTCGTGAAAGATTTGGACATGTTTTTCTCTTTGACACTGGAACTTCTAATGGAAATCTTTCTGGACAATCTCGTCCAATGGGATCAATCGATTTCAGGCCAACAGTGAGTGAACGAATCCGCTTTTCTTCAATTTGTTCAAATTTTCAGCGTCCTTTCCGATTGATCAGTGGCTCTGAGGATAACACCGTAGCCATATTCGAAGGACCTCCATTCAAATTCAAAACGGTTAATATTAGCTTTTGATATTTATAATTTGGATCTTTAGACACTCCATGAACATACGCGTTTTGTTCACGCTGTTCGTTACAATCCAGATGGATCCTTGTTCGCTAGCGCTGGTGCGGACGGCAAAGTTATCGTTTATGAAGGCGCGGAGGGCAAAAAAGAATTCGAGCTTTCTGATGAAAGCTGCAAGGTATATTCTAGACATTTATAATAATTAATGGTAACTTTTCAGGGAAATGCCCACAGTGGTAGTGTTTTTGGAGTCAGTTGGTCAAGTGATGGAACGAGACTTGCTACTGCTTCTGCCGATAAAACTCTGAAAATATGGAATGTTCCAAACAAATCTTTAGAAAAGTAAGACATTACAATTGTGTTTGACTAATTTTTATTTTCAGAACTGTTACTTTCGGGGACGAAATTGATAACCAACAGCTCTCTGCTGTTTGGGCCGAAAACAAGGTTGTGACTGTAGCCTTGAACGGATTCATAAGCATCGTGAACCCAGATGAAGGCTCCATTGAAAAGGTATGAATTAATGGACAATGCTTTTATTACATTTTTTTCAGGTTATCACTGGACACAATAAGCCTATTACGGCTGCAGCTGTAACCGACGCGAGAGATTTCTTGTTCACTGCTGATTTCGAAGGAAACATCAGTATGCTATTTAAAAATAAAGAAATAACAGTTATTTTCAGACCGATGGAAACTTAGTGACGGATCATCCCTCAGACTTCCTAAGGTTCACAAGTCTCAAGTTGTTGGTCTCTTCGCGACTTCTTCGGGAACACTGATCAGTACCGGGTGGGATGATGCGGTAGCTTTCACTGGATCTGCTACTGGCTGTGAGTTTTTTCAATTTTTTTTTAACCTTCAAATTATATTTGTAGCCCCTAGTAGCCCAAAATCTGTACAACTTCCATCCCAGCCTCTGGGCTTGGCTAGCTCTTCTGATGGAAAAACGGTAGCTGTGGCTTGTTACAAACATGTAGTCATTATTGAGGTAAATTAAAAATCGATAGATGAGAATGAGAAATCATTTAGGATGGAAAAGTGAAGAACGCTCAATCCGTTGACGGACAGCCTTCTTGCGTTGCTTTCTCAGAAGAAAAGAAGCTTGTAGCAGTTGGACTTCAGGTAGTGATATCAGCCGATTCGTTTTGTTAATATTTTTCAGAGCTCGAACGTAGTTATTTATGGCTTAGATTCGAATGGAACGCTCACTGAGAAGAAGCGTCTCAGCCATAATGGACATATCACAGCTGTATCGTTCTCTGCTAACAGCGAATATCTGGTTGCCAGTGACAACGCCAGAAAAGTAAACAAGAAATATCTACTGTAATTATATCATATTTACAGGTTATCCCCTACAAAGTAGCTGATGATTTCAGTGTAGCTTCCAGCAAAGAATGGACCTTCCATTTGGCTAAGGTTTATATCTATTTTTCTATTTTTTTAAAAAATTAACTCAGGTAAATTGCGCTGCCTGGAGTCCAAATGGTCGCTATGTCGCTACAGGTGGATTAGATACAAATTTGATTGTCTGGGATACTCAAAACAGCGGAGAACATCCAATTATTATTAAAGGTAGTTTTTACTCTTCTTTCCGTCCTAATGTGAATATTGAAGGGGCTCACGCGATGTCGTCTATTAATGAAATTCTCTGGACTAAAGATAATGAATTGCTGACTATCGGACAAGACTCGAACATCAAACACTGGCGCCTTCACATCTAAATTTGAACGAATGAAGTAGTACTTTAGTTTGGGCTTTTTGTTTTGCAGCCTACTGATTGTAACATTTAGCTTTATCTCAATATATTTGAGTTTATACGAGTTTTGCCGTTTTCTGAACTGTTGAATGAAGTTTTCGTTCTTTTGACCTACTATAGAATAGCATAGGAAAGTACAATTAAAGAATAATATATAAAGGAATACAATTGCTTCCGAAACAAAAAGCCATTTCAAGTATGCAGATTAAAGTTCAGAAGCTTGATGGCTTCCTTTTCTCCGTCCCTAATCCCCTGAACATCTAGCTGCTCGATTATGCTGCCTAGGCCGAGACGAATGCAGTCGACTGTCGCTTGTTCAATGCAGCTGCTGCTATAGGATTGTCATACTAACATTCAATAATTTCATTTCTTCAATTTTCCTAATACTTTCATATACTCTCGTGATCATATATACATTTTTTCCAATATTTTGCAGGATTGATTGCAATATGAATCGAAATATCAAAACTCCTAAAAATCTTCCGGAATATCTGGAATTTTTTGCTCGTGAAACCATTCGAGCACAGCCAAAAAATATCTTGAAATTCAACAAACTATTTCTTGAAGAGCTTGAGAAACATACAGGTGCCGTGTTGAGTAGTGAGAGAAAATTCATTTGTGAATAATTCAGATGGGACCAACATAACCACCTTCTTGGAAGATCCCGATACCTATCAGAAATTCCAAGACGATCTCCTTCATCGAGTAAGTATCTAGAAAAAAAATATAGATATGAGGCTCGCCATAAATGTACTTTGTACCTCATTCTACTTCTTTCAGGTAAATGCCGATCGCGCTTTTTCGAAAGAGACAAAACAGAAAGAGTAAGTCACTTAATTGGAAGAAACAAATTTGGCCTGTCGTTTCCAGATCTGCGAATGGTGATGTGGATGAAGCAGCTATCAAGATCCAAGCCAACGTCCGCGGATTTCTTGTTAGAAAAGCTGCCGAGAAGAAGCAATAAGGCCAGCTTTAAGAAGCACCTGGAAAATTTATTGATTAACTTATATGTAATATTTCCGATTACAGCTAATAAATTTTTCCGAAATTCTCATTAGTTAATCTCATGAAATCAGTCATTCCATTAGGTTTGACACCAAATTCTTAGTTCCCATGACAACCTTCTGAAGAAAACAGGACAACGTCAGCTTTTCCGCCTCTATGGGGCGATATCTATAATGAGATTAGGCTGTATGTACTCAGCTCAGTCTCAGATTTGATAATGTACGACCTCGGTCCCGAACTTACTATTCTGGACTACACTACTCCTTCACCAATAGTTCGAAATTTGGCTTCGTTCAGTCTTGATTTCAAAGATAATATCTTCATCGCCGTCGCTTCAACCAACAAAGTAAGTTTTCCTTGTTTTGAAGTTTTTATTATATAAAAACCTCATCTGAAGGTTCATATATTTGTTGTTGATACATCTCTCTCCGTACTAGCAGCTGAAAGTGTTCTTGTTGATCCTGAAGAGGATTGTTTGCAAGTTTCAGAGGTAACACTCGAACAGTCACAATTCATTACCAATTGTATTCGAGGTTTCCATTGTTCGCCCAAGTACAAGGATCTGGCCATATCTTGTAGTGGCGACAACGAAAAGTATTCAAATCTTCGATCTTATCTTCATGGGAATGCGTAAGCTGAACATTGTAGCCGTGCTGTCAAGAGAGAAACTACCCAAAGTGACAGCACAGGGAGACAAAGAGGTTTCTATATCTCTTTAAACTACAACAAGCTATATATTAGATGGCCAAGCAATTGAAAGGGCGAACAAACGAATGGTTTGGATTCTATAGAGGGATTACCTGTGTTGATACCACCATATACGTTGGAAACAGCTTAGGACAGATTCTTCCTTTCTATTGTTCCACAGAAACAAATGTCGTTTCGAAAAAGCCATTACATGTATTGTGTTTCTTCACATTAACTTCAGCTGCAGCTCTATATTGCAGGAACACACGGGGCCTATTATGGATATATCCACCTGTCGCTATGATGACATCACAGCTTCTGTGGACGGCCATAAGGAATTGATTATTTGGGCCAGAAATATGAAGAACCATCATCATAAGATAAAACTATTGTGAGAACAGTAACAAACCCCATAACTCTCTTTCTGCTTAAGAGAATATCCGACATGTGTTGAGATTCTTCGAAAACATGTCATTGTTGGATCAGTGTGTGGATTATTTTTCCTTTATAATCTTCAGACGGCTAAACTCAAAGCTACAGTACTGAAAATCATTTTTCCTGTCTGCTAATCCATTGATTAAGGTAGACATGTTCAAGAGATCGATAACCAGTATCCATACAGCACCAGAGTCTGCCTACTTCTTAGTTACAGATGAAGATGGCTTTGTGAATGTTTATAAACTTCATACAAGGAAACCATCTCCCTTTCAGGTAACAAAACTTTTCATGACTTACATCATATCTTATTCAGGTAGAACATCGGTTTTCTGAGCATTTCCCGGATCGAAAAGTCTTTGGTGGTCAGTTCCTGACAGCCCGTGGAAACGTTTTCTCCCTTTCTCTTTATGATGACCCTGTAGTGCGTACATTCCGTATAACCCCGAAACCTAGTACAGAGCCATCTAAAAACAAGTAATTCCTTTCGTCCTATCTGAAATTTCAGAACAACTCTGAGAGAAGAATCTGAGAAGAAGTTTTAATGAAAAATATTTTCGATACAGAGATCATAAATGA